CAATCCCCCACATGAATGGGAATGGCTGTAAGAAAGATTATAGATGAAAGCTATGTGATTTTGCAAGTAAGGATTAATTGCATCTGGATAAGTAGGTTTCCCTTTGAACTTTCTGTAGTGAACACATGTCGGATATACTCGGTCAATCGGTAGATTTGATATCTTTGAACCGTCGAACTTTAGTGTATACCTAGACAACCATATGTCACACAACCAAACCCTTAACCGTCTTTTGGTTCTCATTGTTGTGTTCGTTTTAGCCATGAACACCGCCTGGTTTCATAAGTGCGTAGAGAATTGGCCTTACAAAATTCTCATTGAAGCGGCTTCCACTTTACACTTACATAGGTGATTCCTAAACGTGTAATCCTTTAGATTGACACTATTTGATAAATACCTCATCAAACTTAGGTAATCATTAAAGAACGTGTAAAGTTCTATCCTTGTTACTGAACATTGTCTTCATCACGAGAATGGACCAAAGATTTTATTTTGACAATGTTGAACTGGTCAATCACAACTTTGTTTGAGCTCCTTGAACCTAGATCTCGGAACATCCAAAATTCTAGGTAGAGTTACCGCCATGTTGACTTGTCCTCGGCCATAGTCCCATTCCCTTAGATGATTTCTCAACTCCCTCTCTAGTTAAGCCTTTTGTAAGCGGATCCGCCACATTATCCTTTGATCTTACATAATCAATAGTGATAATTCCACTAGAAAGTAGTTGTCTAACGGTGTTATGTCTTCGTCGTATATGACGAGACTTTCCGTTATACATAACGCTCCCTGCCCGTCCTATTGCAGCCTCACTATTGTAATGTATGCAAATAGGAGCCAAAGGTTTTGGCCAGAACGGAATGTCTTCTAAAAAATTCCGAAGCCATTCAGCTTCTTTACCGGCTTTATCCAAAGCTATAAACTCTGATTCCATTGTAGAGCGAGCAATGCACGTTTGTTTGGAAGACTTCCAAGATACTGCTCCTCCACCAACAGTAAAAACATATCCACTTGTGGACTTTGTTTCTGATGAGGCAGTTATCCAATTAGCATCACTATATCCTTCGATAACCGCAGGATATTTATTGTAGTGCAAAGCATAGTCTTGGGTATGTTCCAAATATCCCAGAACTCGTTTCATTGCTACCCAGTGATGTTTGTTGGGATTACTTGTGAATCGACTAAGTTTACTTATCGCACAAGCTATATCAGGTCGTGTATAGTTCATGATGTACATTAAGCTTCCCAACACACGAGCATACTCCAATTGAGACGTACTTTCACCTTTATTCTTTATGAGATGATGATTTAAGTCAATTGGAGTTCTTGCACTTCTAAATTCCAAGTGTTTGAATTTTTCACGTACCATTTTTGTCACGACCCAATTCCCATACCCGGTCGTGATGGCGCCTCTCGTGAAGACAAGGCCAGCCAACTAACCCAAATCCTTTCACTAACAATTATTAAACATAAATGAATAGAAGATACAACTTAATGGCATTAGAAATTGTTAATTAATACCCGACCGGGGTGTCACAAGTCACGAGCATCTAAGGAAACCTTAACACAACTACAGGCCAATAAATATATATACAAGAAAAATTTCTGGAAAACAAAAGACAACATCCGGTGCCGCGAACGCTGGCGGTCACCTTGCTCAGCTACAATAACAATACCTTGAATCCGCTAATAACCCGCTACCGGGTGAACGATACCTGCAACTGCACGCGAGGTGCATGGAGTAAAGTGAGTACTTCCAACTCAGTGAGTAATAAACATATATAATGGCTGAAAGTAAGAAATTCCGAAATATTACAATATAAAGCTATAATCAGCGATTCAGCACATAAAACGGTAGAACAACAACAATACCAGGACAAGTAATACAAATAGGTATAAATGCATGAATGCAATGCAATGCACATGACCGCTGCGGCGCGCAGCCCGATCCATTTGGGTACCCGCGCTCACTGTGGGGGTTCAGACTCCGGAGGGGCTCCTACAGCCCAAGCGCAATATCATCGTAGCATTCGCTGCGGCGTGCAGCCCGATCCACACTCAGTCCAGATATATATATGCATGCAAGCCACTCGGGCACAGTCAAATTGTTCATTTTTAGTTTCAATTATTAGAATTATAGAGCTAAGTGTTTAAACCTTTATTTATTTACTAACCATTTCGAGGCAGTGTCTAACTCAGGACTGATATCATGAAATATGCTAAGCATCATGGAAGCAGTGATAAGGATCCCTGAAGGATGCAAATGATAGGCACAAAGCCCCGAACATGTTCATAAATTCCAAGTAGGATGATTGCCAAACAATTCCTAGTCAAGAACACAGTACGAACATCAATCGGAACGGACTAGGTCACAATCCCCAGTCACAATCGACCCCGCACTCGTCATAGAGTACGTGTCTCGCCTCAATATAGCGTCACAATGTGATATACCGGGGTTTCAAACCCTCAGGTCATCATCTACATCTATTACTCACCTCAAGCCGGCCACAAGTCTAGCTCGCTATGCCTTTGCCTTTCGAATCAACCTCCTCGCGCGTCGAATCTGGCCAAAACCACAACGAATACGTTACAATGTGCCAGTGCCAAAGAAACATAACTCAATTGAAAAGACTCGAGAAATATCAAAAATCACTAAGTTGGCAAAACCCGAGCCCCGGGCCCACTTCTCGAAAATTACGAAAACTTTACATCAAAACGATCCTTATCTCGCCACGAGTCTATACATATCAAACTCACAAGAATCGGAGTCCATTTGACCCCTCAAATTATCAATTTAAGCACTCTTAAGTTTCAAGCCCTAACCTCCATTTTTAGCATTTAATCCCTTAAATTTCAGTGTTCAATCCATGATTTTACACTATATAAACATAATCCGAGTCCAATAGTTCATACCTGATGAGCCCCTTCGATTTCTCTTCAAAATCGCCCAAGAAACCGCCTAAGCCGAAGTCCAAAATATTTTTCTTCTCTTTCCAATTCGTGAACCACTGTTCACTTAAACCCAGACCGTTTTTCCGCTTCTGCGGTTAATNNGCGGGGGGAGGGGGGGCAGTTGGGGGTGGGTGGTGCAGAAAAACGAAAAAACAGAAATTTGAAATTGTAATAAAAAAATAATATTTTTTGCGGGTGGGGTGGGGTAGAGGGGTAGTAGGGTGGGTGGTAACGGAAAAATGGAAATTTTAAAAAAAAAAAGTGTTTTTTGGAGAGAGAGGATGAGATGGGTTGGTGAGGGTTGGGAAGGTTGAGAAGGAGTTTTGGAAAATGTTTTTTCTTCTCTTGATAAGGAAAACATTTTCCTCCAATTGGAGGAAAATGAGTTCATAAGGAAAATATTTTTCAAAACATTTAAGCCAACCAAACATGGGAAAATTGAAAAATATTTTCCGAAAAATATTTTCCTTCGTCCCAAACACGCCCTAAGTCTCACTAGATTTTCTTCTTCATAATTTGGTATCCATGCTTTCAGAGGCTAGTATTTGCATTGTAGTCATCCGTATCAAGCACTTCTCTCATTTTATTTTATTTTAAAAGTCAACAACTAATAAATGGTAGTGATAATCTTATGTCAACTATCTTACCAAAGCCTTGGTTAAATGAATCTGCACTAGAAATCAGATTTTAGTTAAATTGATAATTAAACAGGTCAACATCTATATGATGACTTATAAGCTCTCCCAAGAAGATGGTGATTAACTGTTCAAGCCAAAAAAAAATGTGATTCATCGTACATAAAAGACAAAAATAGTGTCATCTCACATTCTATATGGCATTTTTAATGTTAAAATATGGGCTAAAGACCAGGTTGACCACTACACAACAGGAGGAAGGAGTGAGAACTGAGCGAAAGAGATAGTGGAATTTGTTTATATATATTATTTAATCTCATGAAACTACATTAAAACATGGAAAAAACAAGCTTAATTCCTTTTGCTGGGGACCAAACAACCACTTTATTCTATCTTACTCTTTTAAGGTTGGGTGAAATTGCACTATTTAAACAACTTAATTATTATCCTAACACTCATAAATCATAGCTCCATATTTCTCTTAACTCCACCATTCAATAAACCAAAACTGCCGTTCTTTATTCTAAAACAGAGAAATTAAACCATGTCCTCTTTTCCAGTCCGAGTCATGGCCCCAAACTTTGATGAGAGTCGATAGGTAATTGAAAGAGAAATTTTCATAAAGCATTATCTTTTGTGGTAGTAATTAGTCATCTATAGATACCATTTGCTATATTACGGATTATAGATACCTTTTGTGTGGTTATAAGATGTATTTGATGTATTTAAGTTATTGTATTCATGAATACAGTAGCAAAAATAGGCGTGAATCAGGAAAGTCCAGCTAATCAGTTATTGTATTCGAGTGTATTCGACTGTATTCATGGAGTGAAACATGGGATTACAGCTGGACAGATTATTGTATTCAACTGTATTCGACTGTATTCACGGCGTGAAATAGGGGATTACACTGTTTTTAAAATGGAAAGTGAATCAATTAACATAATAGACTCCTAATATAACTCAACAAACTCAATTATAACACACAAAATTTGTATTTTCAGTTATAAAAAGATTCTCAACCGAAGAATACCCCAAAAACATAGCAATCTTCAGAGAAATTATACAATACATCTGAATACATAAATTATATTAATTAAAAAAAACATATGAATACATTCATGGCATATAGCGAGACAGTGAATATAATGAAATACATATAATACAGCAGGATACATTGAAATACAATGAAAAAAAGACAATGAATACAATGAAATACATGGAATACAACGAGATACATTGAATTACAATGAAAAAAAAGACAATGAATACAATGAAATACATGAAAATACATTGAAATATATTAATAGAAAATCAATTGCTCAGCCCCAAACTCCGCCGTCTTTGTTCAAGAACAAACTCTAATTTCCGGCGAATCCGCCATTCACCGGAAGCCGGTAGTGAAAACACGACCCAATGGAGATTGTGGAGAGTGTGAGGATCTGTATGGCAAAGGCTCTTGATAAGGCTACTGCTGATGGACATAACGTGGATAGTGGACTCAAAGCTATTGGGCTTACAAATCAGCGAGAGATCACTGTTGTGTGGTACAAATCCACAGGGCTACCTCTTTACAACGCCATTGTTTGGATGGATGTCCGTACGAGTTCATTTTGCAGGTCTTTTATGAATTTCCAACTTTTTTTCCGTTTCTTGATTTTGAACCAAATCCAACTTCGTTTTCCGATTAGAATCAGTATCTGTTTTTTCCCTTTAATGCATACACATTTGTTGAGAGAGGGGAGATAACCACGGAGAAATTCTGGCGTTGAGAGAGAGAGAGGGTGGAGAAAAATCTGAAAGAATGAGAGAGAAAATAATACAAAAAGTATTTTATGGCTTAAGAGTAGGAGGTAACCATAAATAGATATTTGGCTATAAAATCAAAAGGTATCTATAGAATATAATTTTTTAAAAGGGTATTTATTTAAAATAAATAAGTTATCAACCTTTGCTATAGGAGGTAAAAATTCCTAATTGAAATCCGTCGAACACTTGATGAAGAACTTGAAGAAAACACTGAAGTCCCAGTTAGCATTTTCAACGTCCCCAAAACCCTAATGGTTAGCGACCCGGATTCTTACGTGCCCAAGAAGTGGCTTTAGGCCCTTAGCATTATTGGCGTTCTGAACTGTATGAAATTGAGAGGTATTGTCGAGTTGTATGTTCATCTCATCTAAAAACAATGAGTGGTGTTGAGAGTCAAATTTAGCATTTCTTTCTGCTCTGATATCATAGTATAAATTTTATGACTTTCTCATTTAAAAGCTTAAATTCCTATACAGTGCATATTTTTATTTATTAATTATGTTATCGACAGGTATAAAGTTGCAGCTGTAAAGAGAACTCAGAATCAACTCCAAAATCTCAAATTCCAAAATCTTGTTGAACATCTGTTAAAATTGGAGTCTAGAATTCGTGCATGTTACCATAAGTACTTGAATTTCAGTGGGGAAACTTTGGCCTGGATGATGGCTGTGGACGCCTCATTTTTGCTCGAGTTTCTTCACATCTACGCCGTTAAAGAAGGTAAGGTTCTAATTACAGTTTCTTCCTCGAGGATGTCACACTTAGTCGATGCTGCTGGGAGAAAATCAGCACATAACGCCATACTTAGAGATTTAGCAATGCTTGAAAATCAAATACCATTATTCGTGTTAAGGAAAATTTTGGAACTTCAGTTCTCATCTTTAGAATTGGCAGACGACATGCTGATGGCTATGTTAGTGGGATTATGTAAGGAGCTTTCTCCTTTCAAAATGGTGGAAATTTTCCCAGAGGTTAAAGTAAGAGAATCTGCTCATTTGTTGGACTTTTTGTACCAAATGATCGTGCCTAAATTGGAATTAGGAACTTCTGAAATTACAGAAGATCATGATCAGGACCAATGTGATTTGAATCAAGGAGAAAAGAATTCTTTTGGAAAATCAAGTCACGTTAAACAATTTCTAAATGAAATTTGGAAGATAGTTATTAAATTAAACAAAGGCCCGGTACATCTTCTTAAAAGAATAGTATTTTCAAAACCTATGAAACTCATGTTCAAGCTGCCCTGGACACTTCTCTCTAATATTCCAGGGTTAAAAATCCTAATTTTGCCCATGAAATATCTAGGTTTCTCACAAGAAAATCCTGAAAATGAAAATTCTAATAACCCACCTCTAGTGGAGGAAATAACCATCCCCTCAGGCCTCAGTAAGTGAACTTTCTAAAGCAGGGGTAAGTATTGTAGCCACCAATGGAGGAATCACAAGCATAAGTTACGACAGTAAAAAGATGGCGTTACACTTACCTACTGTCAATCTTGAAATAAACACGGAAGTTATTTTAAGAAATTTAGTTGCATACGAAGCGTGTATTGCATCGGGACCATTGGTTTTTACTCGTTACACTGAATTAATGAATGGGATAATTGATACAGCAGAAGATGTAGCATTACTTAGAGAAAGAGGGATTGTATTGAACCGTTTGAAGAGTGATGATGAAGTCACGAATTTGTGGAATTCGATGGGTAAATCAGTGAAGTTAACCAAGGTGCCGTGCTTGGTTAACTGCTTCTAGGCCCAATTTACCCAATAAATTGGGGCAAAATAGTCCATGCAAGAATTCATACCATAAAATATTTTTCCATCACGTATACTGGAGAATCTTTCATTCATGCATTGGTTAACTTCACTGATTTACCTTGGTTAACTTCACTGATTTACCACACTAAACCACACTTCTAGGCCTAACTGCTCAATGCATTGCCCCAATTTATGTCACACCTGCTATTGTCAAAGATCGACCTAAGCGGTGCACAATCATATCTCAAATGCAGACTCTCATGCCAAGACACACTTGTGCTCACTCTAATTACTCTAACAGACGTTAAGACTCACTTTTTCTTCCTGAGTCACATGCCCTCACATAAACCAAATTTGAGAGAAGTTCCACACACATAAAATTCAACAACAAGGAACCATATATAGAAAGAATTCACTCACTCTCAGCGAAGAGCATTCACATGCCACACAGACACACCATAAGCTTGCCCCTAGTGTAATACTCCACTAATCGAGCCATTCAGTCAAAGATCAAGAGGTCTTTATAGGTTGTAATGTAGGCGAAGGGATGGGTAGGATATATTTGGATATAGTGACTAACCTCCCTAAGCACTTTTAATACACACTTCCTTTTGTTTCACCTTCATGTTCAACCCGATCATTATTCCACATTTTGTTTCACTTGTGACCCCCACTTTTCTTTAGGTACAACTGGCTTCTTCTTTTTCTTTTCTTTTCTCTTTTTTTTTTTCCAGATTTATTGTACACTGCCAGTTCACCAACCAGAACCTTCATTCTTGATTCCCCCTTTTTTTTTTCACTAACTCTCTCCCACCCCACACTTTGACTTTTGTATATTCTTTAGTGATTCAAGTGCTTCTAAGAGGTAAAGGTTCAAACAATTAGCTTATTCAAACACAGCGATTTAGATCATTACAGGGTTATCAAAGAACAGGCTTCAGGATCAAAGGGGGTAACTATGGTAATATGCACAGGTGGATTCTCAAGTATAGAGGGTTGCACAAAGAAATGCCTCAATCATCTCTAAAACCAAACGACTTCTATTTCGCTTTGCAAACAGTTCTAGGTATCATATGCAAGCATAGGATGCAAGTAACAACTCACACACACTTAGCATGTAACTCATTCCGAATCAGTTTATCAACACAATCATACGAGTGTTCAAGCCAGACAAGATGTGCAAAATTAAGGCATATATTATGAGTCCACAAACAAGCTTAGACGTCCACTCTCAAGTTCTTTTCTTTGCAAGTGTGCACATTTGGGGTTACATTCTGACCTTCACCCATCTAATCCTAAAACTACAAAAGAAAAATCTACCTAACCCGGTTCAAGAAAAACCCTTGGAAAAGAACCGTGGTCAAAAGAAAAACCAAGGGGGAGGTACTACACTACCTAAAAGAAGAAAATAAAATTAAAAAAAATTCTACATGGACTACTTCCCTCAAGAGTATTGTCCACCTAGTCCGTCATCAGGAAGAGTCCTCTACAAGTTTTATTTTTTTTTATTTTTTATTTTTTTATATATATCTGACTTTGACCCTCAAGAGACCCGTCAACAAGTGTCCGTCGTTGGGCCAAGTCAGCTACTCCTAATATAACACACTCACATATATACAACACATCACTCTCATGCTACAGCACAACAACATACATCTATATACATTACAATACACAGTTAGAGCAAGTCTCCCACCCCACACTTAAAATCATGGCATGTCCCCATGTCATATCAATAAAGTAAAGAGCAAAAGGATGAGACGGCTTCCCTGAGACTCAATCCGAGTCGGAGACGGTGCTGGGGTCTACATGGCAGGCCCTCCCCAATGCACGTAACCAAGCCATAAACCGGCTCTCAGATCGAGCCTGCCTCTGTGACATGGCGTCCATCCGCGTGTGTAGACCATCCACCGAGGTGCGGAGATCCGCGACCTCTTCCTCCAAGGAGCGTAGCATAGGCCGGGAGGACTGTGAGTGTGATAGGTCTGCTCCAGAATGGGGGCGCCGAGAGGGCCCGGCACTGTCAACAGACCGCCTAGACAGTGCAAAAGGAACCGGATCATCCTCCTCATCATCAATCTCAATTGTGGTGTGTGTACCCCTGCCCACTCTGATGCTAGAAGCTTTGAAAGCTGCTCTGGGAGGCAAATCTCCATCTGCAGGATTGGTGGGGGTGTTTCTCATCAAGCACAATGTGGTTACCAAGGAAGGGAAATAGAATCCCTTTGTCAGCAGCGATCCCCGTAAGACCATTTCATCTCCAATTACCCGGGCCGCATCAAAATCCTTCCCTGTCACAAAGCACCAAGTCAACAGTGCCCTATTGAAGTTCACGTCCGTGGTATTGCTGGATGGCAGGAACCTGCTACAGATAGCAGTCAACCAACACTTGGCCAAGTGAGTGAAAGAGTTAGAGTTGAGGGTTATTTGGTCACGTATCCAAATGGGCTATCCCCCTGTGCAAAGTACATCCGTCATGACCTCCCATGTCACCCCCAGCCTGTCATGGTAATAGTCGACGTCACTGGTGAACGGAGGCAGCCGCAACACCCGGCGAATTGTTTGAATTTGAGCACTGACCACCATATCCCAAACAATCACCTCCCTACCCAAGTTCAATGGGCAGTTGGCATAAAATTCACGAACCAGCATCTTGTTAACTGGTGCAGGGTCAGTAAATAGGAATTCCATTTCCCGCCTCCGTATTTCTTCATACATCTCCACTTTTTCGGCTCGGAGGGCTACCCGATCAATCGGGATCTCATGAATAAAGGTTTTTGTAGCCTTGGCGTTGAAGTCGTCCTCTGCCAGTTCCGATTGGAATCTGGACTCATCATAAGCAGGTCGTTGGGATGTGCCTCCAGAGCGCCTCTGCCTTTTGGGAGCCATGTGACCTGCAAATAATCAAACAAACCATCAACATATGCCCTAGCTAGTGCCAATAAGATGGTTACTCAGACTTCACCACCCAATGACACCAAATATTTCCCCTTAATTCATTCATAACAACCTCGAAAATAGCCTCATAATTTTCTTACCACTTCCGGCATAATACACCCCACACTTACTCCTTTCAATGTTACACATGACATACAACACCACCATATAACAAATACCACCATACCAACAATCAACTACACATCAACTACAACATCCCAAACCTAGATTGGGCTTAAACACCCCAAAAATATACAACATATTACCACAATTTTCGGCCAACACATGACCCAATACCATACTACACCACAAAAATCTAGTTTAGGCCTCCAAACCACCAAAACAACTTCACAATTATGTAATAATGGAGACCCAATTAATTTGGCACCAAACAACCTCATAAACATTAACTACAACAACTACAACAATGGCAAACATAAAAGAAAGCAAAAAATTCAAATTACTACACTGCTCCTACTAGGGTTTAAGCAAAAATAATAATTTAACAAACACTACTTAAAAGAGAAAGAAATAGAGAGAGAGAAGGATAACTTACTTGAGTTGAAGAGGTGAAGGAATGGAGGTGAGTTAATGGAGGTTTGGGGAGGAAGGTTGTTGTTAATGGAGGTTTGAAGAAGAAAAAGAAGGGGAGTTGTAGATGAAGAGAGAGAGAAAAAGAAGTAGGATGGGGGTTAGGGCGGAATTATTGAGGGGAAATAGAAAGGGGGGGGGGGGGTTTGAGGGTGTTAAAAAAAAAGAAAAAAAATAAAAATAAAAAAATTACTTACCTGGCCGCGTCTGTGACTGCTGCGGTTCTGCCGCGGTCGCGATAGAACCGCGAGCAGTGATATTCCGCGAGGCCTTCTGACCGCGGTTTCACCGCGGTCACGGTGGAACCGCGATCGAGGCCCTTCTCTGATTCTAACGCCCATTTTTTTTAAAGGTTACAATTACAACAATGTCATGGGTTGCCTCCCATGTAGCGCCTGATTTAACGTCGCGGCACGACTCATGTGAGCGAAATTAAGGTTCGCTCGACCTTTGGGGTTCATTCAAATGCAGCTCGGTCATCTCCTTAGGCTCGTTCATGCCCACATACAACTTCAACCGCTGACCATTGACTCTAAATGTACGAGAGTCATCTTCAGTAGAGACTTCCACAGCTCCGGAAGGAAACACTTCAACCACGCGAAATGGTCCAGACCACCTTGACTTTAGCTTACCCGGGAATAACCGCAGTCTTGAGTTATAAAGCATACCCTGTCCCCAGGTTTGAAATTTCGTTCAATGATGTTCTGATCGTGAAGCCTCTTCATTCTCTCTTTATATAGCCTTGTGCTTTCAAAAGCAAGATACCGGAACTCCTCTAGCTCATGTAATTCAATG